GTTTTTATACTACCCTTCTTTCAGGAACAAAGGGACTACACATGATAATACACTGTAATACATTTGGATCATTTCTCACGGGCATACAATGGAAGGTTTTGCTACATACAAAGTATCCATGTGCAATGTGCATTTGATTAGCCACATATTACTGACACAGAACTTTCCCAGTGAATTTTCCCAGTGATTATGCATTACATCATTATTCTAGCAATTATGCAGACACATCATTATTGCAGACAAATCATTATTCTAATAATTGTTCATTTTACTACATTATTCCCCCCTTTGGAGGTTTTCTCGCTTAAACTTCCACTATTCGTCCTCCAATTCAGGATCTTTTGGTTGCAGTTATGATTTTGATTTCTACCTCTGATATTGGATCGTAGCCATCAGCATCTATTCCTATCCCAAACATCCAGTTTCGTCTTTCCCATCTATTTTGTTCCAGGAACCAACTGCCATTTTTGACTGTGAGGGTCACCAAATTACAGTTATCCCTTCCACATGAGTCTGCTGTTGTATTTTTCTTTTCAAACAAGATAACATCAGTCTGGTTCCGTTTGTGCACGATCATTCCACAGCTCCGGAGGTTTGTATTCCCCCCCCTTTTTCCTAGCTGCCTGGTAGGGAGAAGTTCAGAGGGCTGCATAGTATAGGAGGCAATTTGTTACATTGTAATGGTTAGCACACACGAATAAACAAAAGGTTACTTTGTAGTGAATAGAAGAAGTGAAAGTAATAAACCCGCATGCATATCCCCCCTCCCCCTTGGGAGTATGGCAGAATCCAGGGAAGGGTGAGAATTGGAGATAGAATCAGAGGAGATAGATAGAAAGGAAATATAACTGGATTCTGACAGATAGTCTATAGATAGAAAACACATTGCTAACTTGGTAGTGGCAGGAAAAAAAGATGTAAAACCAGCATGACTATTTTATTTATTTATTTATTTATTTAATTGAATTTTTACCCCGCCTTTCTCCTTACGGACTCAGGGCGGCTGACAGCCTGATAAAAAAAAAATACAAAAAATACCCCAATACTATCGTTAAAAAACATAATTAAAATGAAATATTAGATTTGGCCTTTGATTAATTTAAAATTGTTTTTTAAAAACCCCGCTAAAAATTTCCCCTTAGGCCAGTCCTGCTAGTTGAAATAGCCATGTCTTAAGGGCGCGGCGGAAGGAAGGGAGATCC